ATGGTTATCAATTTTTATTAATTCATATGATGTGATTTTCTGGAATTCTCTTTGGGATTTTGTCTTTCACTGTTAGAATGTACATATGATTAAAGTTATAGATCGTTGCATTCTTTGTAAGTGGGCAAACCTGAAAAATCAGCAAGGGGTCAAATACTTATTTCCCCCACTGTATATCATTTGGGGGTCTCTGTAAATGCTCCAAACCTTCATTTGCTCCTTGAAGCTGAAATATCTCCCGGAGAGCGTGAGGGCTCCCATGAGCTGGCTGAGCATTTGGTCCCGGTTATTCTCGTGTTTGGGTTTGAAACTTGCTCCGAACAATTCGTCACACTGTTCCCGAACGGCCCCCACCGTGTTGCCGACCTGCCGGTGGAAGTCCAGCACGGCCTGCAGGAGAACATTAGTCTGTAGAAATATCGATACGCAGCCTTTCCCAGTTGTGTGATTCATCTAGTGAGTTTTTCTGTTTTTACTCTTTCTGCTCTGCTCGGGCCTGCTGGAGGGGGAGGTCTTGGAGGGATCAGTGCCTTTACTCTGGAAAAAAACAAACATCTTAAAATACTCCCACTTCTTTTGGCAAAAGGCAGATGAAAAATGTAACAGGAAAGAGTGTGTTTTGATAGAAACCTGTCACTAGTAGACTACTAGCAAAGAATGAGAGTTTAGATTGATGACTAGAGAGAACAACATGGACTTAAATCCACAAGTGATCTCAGAACCAAAGTCTAAACTATGTAACCAACAGAGGGTCAAACTTAGACACCATTAACTTTGCCTCAAACAATTATTATATTGCTATAAACATTGTATTTTTTGTCACTGAATTAGTCCCCTAAAAGCTGTTTTTCACTACTTTTTTAGAAAGAAGCTGCATGGATAATAATGTACAAATACTGAATAGGACTTGCTGGTGATAAAGGTCAAAATGAGCTATTTTGAACCACTAAAGATGCCACTCAAAGGTACATTTCCATTCAGGTATACATCCAGTGTATTAACACGTTACCTTCTGGCCAGCTCCTCCGGAGATGTCTTTGGTATTAGTGGTTTCTCCAAGGCTATCTCGATAATAATGTAAGTTCTGGCCTCCGGGTACATCTGTCATCAGCACAAGTGAGCCGTCAAAACAAATTGATAAAGGCAAACCTTAACCCGTTTACAGGTTTATATCAAATCTACATGTGAACATCCACATTATGGTGTTGTGTTGACTGGGAACTTACATTTCCTTCTGTGTTTACTTTTGGCTCGACTTCAGTGAGACTTTCATTAGTGCCATCTACTGTTGCTGGTTTGCTCTGATTAGCTGTTTGCTAGCAAATAAAAAACAAACAGGTCCAATATTAAAACAAAATAGGTTTCACTGCTGAAATCTTATTCATCTGCTAGGAAAAAACCAATTATTAGCTTGTTTTGAAATGATAAGTTGGTGAAATCTTTTAACCACTAACTGCTTTTTTGACCTCCATTAAATAAGAATGAATGCTATAGAAATCAATGCAAGTCTGACCTTTTTCGCTGGGTCTTTGGCTCCTTTATTGCCTCCATCAAGGTTCTTTCCTCCTTTTTTCTGAGCAGCAGAGCTGGCACGAGCTTTGGCCTGAATAGCTGCAAACTTAGCCTGCTTCTTCAGCACACTATCGCTCCGCTTAGCCTTTGAGAGCAGGAACAATTACAAACTCACTTTGAAAGAGGCTTATTAGTGAAAACATCAGTGACTCTATGTATAAAAATGTATTATAAACTAGTGTTAGGGTTATTACCATTATTATTTTTGAAGAAGCAAGCATTTTTCAACAGTACTGTTCAATAACAAAAAAAGACACCCAAACCAGATCTGTTTTGGTCTTTGTGTGACCTTATTCAGCATCTCGTTCTCGCAGAAAGGTTGGATGGTGTAGGCCCCTCTGATGCGACTGACTCCAGGATACAGCAGACGACCCATGTCCACAAACGCAACGCCATGGAACGGGATCTCGAGGTTGTCTTCACCTAACTACACACACAAACGCACAGGAAAAATCTGCCACTGATTGCGTTGTTTAGCCATTTGCCAGCGTTTCATTAAAAAATACCCATTAGATACTCCAATCAATCCCTTCCTTAGCTTTGGTTCACGTTAAACCAATTGTTTTTTTTTTTAGACTATTAGGTTAACTCAGTTGAGTCCTCTAAATACTGATAAGAGATGAGAAAAGATTATTGACCTTTTCCATTGGTACCATGGACCTCATGATCTCCACTGGCCACAGTCGGCTCTTGATGATCCTCTCCTTAAGCCTTAAATCATGGACATCATGTTACACATCTAAATAATCTCTTGTAAAACTCTTTGGATGTTTTTTCTGCAATGAGTCCTCCAGAGGTTGTGACAGAATACAGTTTCCATATGTGGAAATATATGATATTTCCATATGATATATGTCATCCTATTGTGTGCTATCACATCCTCCCTTATATATACAGGACATATATACCTGTTATTATGACCTGGAGTTGGAACATATCCATAGAAAAGATTAATACAGTTATAATGCTAACTTGTTCAATAATTGTGTTTGTAGTGTACTTGAAGGCACTTATAATTTGCTTTCCCTTTGTATATTAATTTGTAACCATAACATAAGAAGTCACTTTTATTGTGATACCACAAGCATTTGTTAAAAAAAACAAACATTTAACACTGATTTGTATTATTCTTATTAAATCAAAAGTGATCTGTTGCTTTATTCTCAGTGAGGTCTTAAAAAGGTAAAAATCAAAGGCCAAACTCTAATAATAATATTTGAAGTCACTTTTATTATACCACAAGCATTTTAAAAAAACAAAAAAACATTTAACACTGATTTGTATTATTTTTATTCAATCAAAACTGATCTGTTGCTTTGTTCTCAGTGAAATCTTAAAAAGATAAAAATCAACGGCCAAACTCTAAAATATTGGTCTGAGACGTGGTAAATTAAATTACGGGTTAAGCTGACCTGGAAATGCCTCCTGGATGCAGGAAGCAGTGCATCTCCGTGTCCCAGCTCACTCTGTTCTTTCTGGTCTCCACATCTTCACGAAACGTCCGGCCCTGAAAGAACATTT